CATCGACGCCGCCACCAGATACGGCTGGCACCTGATTCTTCCAAGTCATGACATGGCCTTCGAAGCCTTCATCGCTTGGCTCCCAGTAGCAGAGAGGGAATCAGGAGTGAAGCTGAAAAGTTTCCAGTTAGACGGGGGGGGAGAATATCAGTCACAGCGCTTCAAGCAATACCTGGCGCAGAGAGGCATCAAGAGACTCATCTCTCTTCCCTACGCTCATCAACAGCAAAGCGTGGCAGAAAGGATGAACATGACCCTCCAGAACACCACGCGCAAGCTGCTACGTGGCATGCGACTACCCAATCATCAATGGCCTGAGGTGATGGACCACGCAGTGCTGTTGCACAACTTGCTTTCGTCATCTTCGCTTCCGAACAACGCATCACCGCATCTGCTGTGGACAAGAGAATTGGGCAGCAAAAAAATGTTACAAGTTTTTGGCTACATGGTACAATACCGACCCCACAGTGCATGAGCCGGATGATTCTCACAACACACACAGTGGGGATTACACCTAGGCATAAAAAAACATTACAACGCGTGGAAGATTTTCGACGTCCACTCGAAGGAAACAGTAGCAGCACGTGACGTGATTTTCTACGAATGACTCACTCTCCAAACGCATGACGATCTTGATGCCCCTAAGCCCAACGCTCACGGACTGACAACGTTGGCCGGCAAGTCCACATCAGCTCGTAACTATGGAGTGTTGGGGGTTGGTGACCAGGGCTGACCGACGGGTTTGGTTCGTCTGTTCAACATATGCTCCAAATCCACGGCTGCTCGGTACCAAAACCTTTGTTTACGATTCCTCAAACCGGTAGTTTCGCCATGGTACTAGCAGTCCTTCCCGCCTTCCGTCTGCTCTCAGAATGTCTGTCCCGATGAAAGCTCCAATAAGACCATTGGTAGTTGACGGCGGTTATCTGCTGATGGTTCTTGAGGCTCCTTATAAGATATTTGCGAATGACTCAGTAAAGAGGTTTCATTGGCTCTACCCGCTGATTAGCCCGAAGGCTCAAATGCCCGAGTGCTGGTGTCATCGCGCTTGTCATGGTCCTTCTTCCTACTCCTAGTAACCATCCCGATCTTGTTCCTTCTACATATCCTCGTGCTCAAATACAGCTGCATCGCTCCCGCATGGACGGCCGCGATAGAATCTGACTCCTCGTCGGACGACATCACAAAATGAGTGTGTTTGAAAATCATCTGACGTTCCCGCCGACCTATCGTGGGTTTGACAATCGTTTGACAAACGTACAGAAAACCTACAAAAAACGTTTGTCCCTCTTGAGACGTTTTCGAGACACTATTCGTATGACTCCACTCAATGTTTCTTGCCTGCTGCTCCAGCATTAGGGTTTCGCGACTAAGAGGGGTTGGAGCTGGTCTCCTCGCTTGGAAGAAGTGTGCTGTAAATTTTTTCTCGATATAAATGTCTCGTTTTTACTTATGTGAATTGTTAGTTACAAGACATTTGAAGATGTTTCTCTTAATTTGTAGTTTCCACTAGGGAACATGTGTTTTCAGGAGTCATATTTAACTAGTGGTTACTAATTTTGCGCCTATTAGATCAAAGAAATGCCTAAAAATATCATTAGTCTATCGTCAAAATCTACGTATACCAAAGTCACATTGGGTCAAAGTTTACGAAGATTGCATGACATCACCATACAAATCTGTTGAGGAGGCTCACTTCATCGTCCTCGCATGAGGGTACAATGTGCACGAGACTAAGAATGCAGTCTACATCGATCACCGCATAATTATCAACGCCCTCTGTGGGTAGAAGACGCTTGCATCCCGTCGACGGGCATTGGCGATTTTCCTCAATGTAGTACTCCACATATGCGCCTCGCCTCAGCTCACCACCCTTGTTGTAATGAAACAATACAAGGCAACAGCCATACCACGGGGATCCCTTCCCTGCAGGGTTGATCGCGATGGACGAGAAGTTTTTCTGGGCTGGGCTAGCCTTGACGAACTGCCCCCTTGACGTCCATTCCATCTTGTCGTGTGGCGGAATCGCAAGTGCCGTGTGCACTTGACACCACGAGCATTGAACAAAGAAAAGGGGAAAGCTGCAAAAGAGGGGGTGGAGAGCATAAGGAAAAGGGGGTATTGGCCAGGGTTTGCGTGGAAAGCAGTCTGGAGAAGGGGAACCAAGGCTGGAGGGGGTGGAAGGCAAGCAGGAGAGGGGGAACCAGGGCTGGAGGGGGTGGAAAGCAAGAAGGAGAGGGGGAACCAGGGCTTAATGGGGTGGAAAGGAATCAGGAGAGGGGGAACCAGGGCTGGATGGGGTGGAAGGCAAGCATGAGAGGGGGAACCAGGGCTGGAGGGGGTGGAAAGCAAGCATGAGAGGGGGAACCAGGGCTTAATGGGGTGGAAAGCAAGCACGAGAGGGGGAAGCCATCACAAAAACCCTATGCCAAGTTTGGACGAATTTTGATTTCGATTGTCTTCGCGTAAAAAAATCCGGACTCAATTTGGACCGACGGTTGGAGTCATTTGATAAGAGCTCCGAGACACATCTCGCGACAACATTTGGCTCGGTTCAAGTTCCAATTTGGCACGCGTGGTTTTCCGGATGACATTCGGGCGCAATCCGTTTTGTTGCAAATTCGTGACCAAATTATTCAAAACTAAATTCTGTTTTTGTTTAGTTTGGATATCGAGGATCTTAAAATTGCATTTATTATTTCGGTTTACAACAACCATTATTCAGCATTCTAGCTACAATCAGTCTTAGCACCAGGTCAAATAGCCTACGCACTGGCGGGCCTTGAAAGCGCCCGGTGGGCAAGGACGACATCTCCAAGGTCGCCATCGTCGATGAGGAACTTGTTCGGAAAGACGAACGCACCCCTCGCCGGATCGTGGGGGATACTCCGCTCCACGACAGCAAAGTGGATCATCTGTTTGACCTTTTCGACCACTCCTGGTAGTCTGGCCTGTTCTGTTCTGGCTGGCTACCGATTCGCTTGCGACGCTTATCCTGCAGAAGGGGCCATTCGATCTGCAATGTGGTGTAGGGTTGGGTGGATGGTTTATGAGGAGGGTGGGTTGCGGGTAAATGAGCCAACTGAAAGCGGTGATTCAGTCGTCACTATCTACGTAACTCCAAAGGCTTAATTGACCAGGGATTTAGCTGAAGTACAGGCAAGGGGTGAAGGGGATGAGGCATGGGGGTACAAACACATATCTACACCCTTACCGAAAACAGGCCCCATGCCACCATGCGGCTCTTGAACTTGGTGAACACCGCCCCGTCCCTCTTGAAGGAGAGCTTGAACGCATAAGCGAACAAGGGGTTGCTGAAGGGCGTCCCGGTGGCCTTGTCAAAGTGCCAGTTGAGGGCCCACTGTTCTGCATTTTGGTAGGGAGGGTAAGGGTTGGAAAGGGTTTTGTAGAGAAATCAAGTGGGGGGATGAGAGTCAAGGTGAGCCACATCGCACGGTGATATGTAGCTGCCAACTGGCATATGGTGTTTTCGAGTTGCACATACCATCTCTGTACTCGGCTAGGAGATGATCGTCGTCGAACCAGGTCGTTGGGTGTAGCTCAGTGGGCAGGCTTTCAACGAGATGGTGGTAATCGGCAAGGCCCATGCCGATGTATGCTGCTGGCCTGAGGGTGGAGTTGATAGTTGACCTTGTTGAGGACAGTTGGTGGTTGAAGACTCCCATGGTTGACTTGTCATTGTGCAACCACAGCAGCTTCATTGCCTCGAGCCCTTCTGCAGACAAGTGGACAGAGAACGCGTTGAACATTTCCTCTGGTGTAGGGTAGTACTGTATTTTCTCCGGCGGGTTCAGAAACATGAGCTGAGAGCACACTAAGTAGGCTGTATATTCCGTGCAGAGGTGTAGGGTATACAACACGACATGAGAGAGACAAACCAGCAGTTATGAGGGTGGCCGCGTGACCAGGGGATGGTGACTAGCAACACTGTGTGAACTTGCCACGTCACACCCTGCGCCATCCACCATGTCCACCAACAACCCGCCCCACTTGCCACGTCACACCCCCCTACCACAAGCCACGTCTCCCCCCACCCACCTGACACGCCTCGCTTCGTCATGCGCCGCTCACGTGTACCCTTTCAAACCGCCACGTCATCTCCAACCCTCACCTTCCGCCACGTCACACCTTCCTGCATCCGCCACATCCACCAACAACCCGCCCCACTTGCCACATCACACCCCCCTACCCAAGCCACGTCACCCCCCACCCACCTGACACGCCTCGCTTCGTCATGCGCCGCTCGCGTGTGCCCTTTCAAACCGCCACGTCATCCCCAACCCTCACCTTCCGCCACGTCACACCCTCACCATCCGCCATGTCCACCAACAACCCGCCCCACTTGCCACATCACACCCCCCTACCACAAGCCACGTCACCCCCCACCCACCTGACACGCCTCGCTTCGTCATGCGCCGCTCACGTGTGCCCTTTCAAACCGCCACGTCATCCCCAACCCTCACCTTCCGCCACGTCACACCCTCCTGCATCCGCCACGTCCACCAACAACCCGCCCCACTTGCCACATCACACCCCCCTACCACAAGCCACGTCACCCCCCACCCACCTGACACGCCTCGCTTCGTCATGCGCCGCTCACGTGTGCCCTTTCAAACCGCCACGTCATCCCCAACCCTCACCTTCCGCCACGTCACACCCTCCTGCATCCGCCACGTCCACCAACAACCCGCCCCACTTGCCACATCACACCCCCCTACCACAAGCCACGTCACCCCCCACCCACCTGACATGCCTCGCTTCGTCATGCTCCGCTCACGTGTGCCCTTTCAAACCGCCACATCATCCCCAACCCTCACCTTCGGCCACGTCACACCCTCCTGCATCCGCCACGTCTATCAACAACCCGCCCCATTTGCCACGTCACACCCCCCCACCCCAAGCCACGTCATCCCCAACCCTCACCTTAAACGCCTCGTCTCGTCATGCGCCGCTCCCTAGTACCCATCCCAACCGCCATGTCATCCCCAACCCCGCCCTGGTTGCCACGTCAACCCCAACCCGCCCCATTTGGCCCGCCACATACCGGGAATGGGTTTGTCTCCTGGAACACTAGCACTCATCAGCGGCGGGATACCTTTCATAGGCACCACTGCGGACCCCCCGGCATAACTGGCAGGTGCTCCACGACGCAGGCCGAGCTGAGCAAACATGGCGTACATCTCAGACCGTAGCGCCTGGAACTCCTCCCGTGTAACAAACTGCTCGTGCTCTGCACTTTCACCTAGGGCACCCAAGAGCGGGGGAAAAGGGTGTGAAGAATCTCCCTTCTGGCCAAGGGGATCAACGTCTTCTGCAGCAGTCCCGTGTGCCCTCACACTATCACGCTGGCGGGAAAAGGGCAGCTCAGGGAAGGGATTGGCAGAAGTGCTTGGCCCTTGCCCGCGCGAAGGACCGGCGAGGGGGGAGACGGCCCTGCCCCAGACAGGAGAAGCGTGGAGCTGCCGAAATGGGTATGTGGGTGAGGCGAGTGGGGAGTGCGTGACGTGGCATGGTGGAGGGGATTCGGATTCCTCTCCTCTTGGTGGGTCGGGTGCCCTGGCATCGACTTTAGACGGGCCGGAGTATGGCGTGTAGAACCTTGGGGCTCCTGTGGATAGCGGGGTAACACTCGCTCTTCCGGCCCCCTTCGTTAGCTGCATCCGTTGCACGCTTACCGGTGGCCCAATGCCTATAACACGAGGGGCTGAGATTTATAGGGAGCAGGAGCACAAAATTAGAGTCGATTAGTTTCAATACAGGTGCACAAATGCTTGCGTACGATCAGCATTTTGAATCTAAATCGGGTTAAAACGGTTACTGTTTTGTAACAAGAGGCCTTACCTTGCTTTGCAGATTCGTCGACCATCTCCTTCCCTGCAGGGGAGATACAATGTGAAGAAATGTGTTAATTGGCACGGTTGAGCAGAGAGTTCAGCAGCCACACCATGTGTATGGGCCACAGTGCTTACCTTTCAGCTGTCCCTTCGGTTTTCTTGCTGCCTGCGCCTTCTCGTTGCCACCTTTCCGTGGGGTGCTTTGGCGGCCGCTGCGACGTTTACCGGCTGGTTCTTTGTTGCCGGAACCCACTGGAACCCCTTTGGCGCGGCCGCCCTTTCCTTCACCATCCCCTTTTGATCCCTGGCTCCCTTGCTTCTTACCAACTCCTTCGCTTTCGACCTTCACTTTACGCGTCTTCGGTTTGCCCGCTGCTTCGCCACGCGGGGCGTCACCCACCCCGCGTTTTCGGGAATGGCGAGTCCGGCCCCCCACCTTCCCTGTACCACTTCCCCGTCTGCCTCGCCCGCCCCGTCCTTTCACTGCCGCCACATCCTCCTCTTCCTCCTCCTCCTCCTTCTCCTCCTCCTCCTCCTCCTCCTCCTCCTCCTCCTCCTCCTCCTCCTCCTCCTCCTCCTCCTCCTCCTCCTCATCCCTCTCCTCCTCCTCCTCCTCCTCCTCCTCCTCCTCCTCCTCCTCCTCCTCCTCCTCCTCCTCCTCCTCCTCCTCCTCCTCCTCCACCTCCTCCTCCTCCTCCTCCTCCTCCTCCTCCTCCTCCTCCTCCTCCTCCTCCTCCTCCTCTTCCTCCTCCTCCTCCTCCTCCTTCTCCTCCGCCTCCTCCTCATCCTTGTCGCCCCCCTCCTCGTCCTCCTCCTCCTCCTCCTCTTCGTCCTCCTCGTCATCATTCTCATCCTTTTCTTCCTCCCCAACCTCCGCGTCCTCCTCCTCCACATCCTCTTCATCCTCCTCTTCCTCCGCATCCTCCTCCTCATCCCCCGCATCCCCCTCATCTTTCTTGCCCCTCCTTCCGCCGGATGTTCTCCTCGCTGCGGGTCGGCCCTGCTTGCGCAATGCATGACCCGTCGCCTTGCCACTTGCTTCCCTGGCGCCTCGCGTTGTCCCAACTTCCGCACCACCGGCGTCGTCAGCACCGCGGCTTGTCTGCCGCCTCTTCGACCGCGTATTGATGTCCCCGGGCACGGCGGTGTCATACTCTTCTTCCCCATCGCTCTTCCTCTGCCTACGCCTCCCACGTCCACTAGAAGGAGGAGAGCCACCTACGTCGGCGATGCTGTGTTCCCCCGCCTTGGCCTTATTCACCACGGCAGCAGAAATTTCGACCACGGTCGGCTGGAGCAGCGTCAGTCCGTGTTGGGATGCCTCCGCCTCGGACTCCTGGGTTGTGCCATGCTCGGCGCGGGGAGAGTCGCTGTGGTTTCCCCCTGTCGCCGACCCCTCTCTCTCCGCCGACGGGACCGCAAGACTCACGCTCCCTGTGGCAGTAGTAGCAGTCTTCTCCTTCTCTTCCGCCTTCTTGCCGGACTTCTCCTGTCCAAACGCGGCCTTTTTTCCCGCCAATTTTTTCAGCCCTCTGCCACGCGCGGCGGACGCATTAGTACCTTTAGAGCCGCCACCACCCTCCCTATCGGTCTGTTGAGATAGCCTCCTTGTCGTGCGACGTCCGGCCTGTTCCTCCTCCTTTTCTTTTTGCCTTGTTGCACGTGTCATGGTTGTTTTATTGATGCGAATTTCTACAAGGCATAACGGTGGAGCCGGTTTCGAAGGGGAACCGCAAATGAATGTAACGAAGGGAGAGTCGACAGTCTATTCTGTCATCTCTCTCTGAAAACCTCCGCTTCAATCAATACTGAAATAGTAGTCAGCTGGAGCTCCGGCCCATGACTTAGTCGACTGGTGAGTCACGGGCGATCTAGAAACGCCTGTGTCAAACATCGAGCAGCGTCAAAGTTGTGGGCCAGAGGGTGACGGAAGCAGGTGGGTGGGGCACGAGGGCGGTTGGGGTGGCTTGCGCGACTAGAGAGATTACTGTAATCAGATATGGCTAGATCGGATGGTGTACGTATAGCCACCCGATCATAAACCCACCCACCGCTCGATCACAGCCGCTCAATGGCGGAAGTACCGCTTGGCGGGTGCTTGTGTTGCGGGAGGGGTCGTTTGAGATGCGTCTGCCAATCAGTGTCGCCAACGCACAAATGAATTGTCATGCTGGAACTGTTTTTGAACCAATGGAGCGAAAGCAACCTAAACCCTGCAAAGTACAGTGATGTTGCGAACGAACAATGTTGCACATACGAGCTAAATAACATTTAAAACTACAACAAATACAATAAAAAAAAAATGGTAGCTAATGTAATAGTCTGGGGTTGTGGTAAGGTAGAGGGTTTGTATCATGTCACACACACAAAGAGCGTCCACAATTATTACTACATACAATTTAACAGAGCACTATTAGGCTATGCCACAACGGTTACGCGTCGCTGTACGAAATCTAACACGACGATCGCTAGTGCCAAACGAGAAACAATTGTGGTATGGTGTTGGATTGGGCTCAATTCTTGCATGGACCTTATAAAAGGTGCATAAATAGAGAGGTATGAAGGACAGGGCTAACGCACAAGCGGTGATGCGTTATCGACAGCCATGTTCAGACAGGGCGACGCTGCATCGTCCAGGCCCATGTTTTGCGCGACATGGTGAAACCGTTGTGGTATGGTGTTGGATTGGGCTCAATTCTTGCATGGACCTTATAAAAGGTGCATAAATGGAGTGGTATGAAGGACAGGGCTAACGCACAAGCGGTGATGCGTTATCGACAGCCATGTTCAGACAGGGCGACGCTGCATCGTTCATTCCCATGTGTTGCATGTCATGGTGAAACCGTTGTGGTATTGCATCCGACGACGAAACCGTTGTATTATTGTATTAGATTGGGCTCCATTCTTGCATGTTAATTCAGCACGGTGCTTTGAGGTCCCCAAAACCTCTTGTGAAGTGACGATATACATATCCGGTACATGCAACAATCTTACGGAAACACACTGAGTTCATGGGTAATACCCGTATGTTTCCATACCACACTAGAGAACTAGGAGGGTTTACAAACAATACCGTTGTCAATTAGGGGTTGTTTTTGTGCAGGCCCATAAGTATGTTTGTATAATACTGATTATAATTGAATCGAGTGTCTATGTAAAATGTAACTGTACATTGTCATTACCTGGTTTGGATTAAGTCTCTAGAGGTGCGCACCACTTTGGGCTCACCTACGTGATTGCGATTTCCCCCCTATAGCACTCGAGAAAGAATCACAGCACCAAACAGATCTCGTCCCTCTCTTCCTCACCCCCCTCGACTCTCACGCACGATTCAAAAACCCAAGTTTTGAATCAAGAGGCACGAACTTCTCACCGTGCTCGCGACGCACACTCACGACCAAGCGTGCTAAACTCCAGTGCATATGGCCCTGCTCACGTCGTGGTCGCTCTAAGAGGGGGCGACACGCCTTGTAGGAAAGGGAAATGCCATGCTGTTGGCGGTCTGTATTGTGCCTTTTCACGGCCGCGCTGCTCGACCATCGTTAGCCAGTCCCTAACCATCACGCCACGCTCAAGTGCCAGTCGTGCAGAGATACAAGCTGCCATGGAGAGTTCGCGCTTTGGCGATGACTGTGTTGCAGTCACAGCCTTCGTTGACGGTGTATATGATGCGTTCACAAACGTCAAACAGGCTAGTTGCTTCATAGGCCATTACTCCACTCTAAGACGGATCCGCAACACATGGGCTCTTTGCCAGGCGTTGTCTACGATTTCTGCAGTAGATGGTTCCCCAACGCCCAAGTTTATGGCGGTCATAAGTCACGGCAGACCCCTTGTCACGACATTCTCTCGGACGCTCCCGCTGCTCCCGCTTCACCTACCGCGTCTAACGCATCCAACACCGTCAGTGTGAGCGGTGCTCCTCGCGTGCCTGAAGCTGACGAGGACGAAACACCCTCGGACGTTAACGAGGGGGCTCCGGAAGATGAACATCAACCGCCACCAGGAACACCTGCAGCTGACACGAGTGAGCATCCTGAGAGCCAGCCTGAAGGGAGTCAAGCCTCGCCGCCTACAACCATCTCTGGACAGAGCGATGCCACGCCCCTCAATCCGCTCGCGTTGAAGCTGCTTCGTTTCATTCGGCGTGTGAATGGCGGAATGGGAATGGCAGAGGTTGACATCACTGGCTTGCTTCAGCTCGTGGTAGAGCCCGGCCTTGCGCCTCTTGTGACCTCGGAGCTCCGGAGCTGCAAGGATATGGAGCGGTTCGAGATGGAGCGCTTGGCAGGGCTCAATCGCGGATGGTCGGTGGCGACATTCGAGATTGACGGTCATCCGCCTCAGCGCCTGCTATTCCAAAACCCAGCTCAGGTAAGCTGACTCTGAATCCTTGGCAGTGAAATGCTGATGTGGCAACCTTGTGGTGCTTGTATGAAGTTATATTCGTTCTCCTTGTATGAGATCGGACCCACCAATCAACGCATCTAGCCATGCCCCTCTTCTCGACTGCCTTCGCCATCGTAAACCAGGCATTCGCTGAACTATTTGGGCATACCAACAACGCGCCCGACTTCAAGCTCAGGGCGCGGGTCGATGAGGACCCTGACACAGGCGACCGTCGTTATACCACGCCGGAAACAGGAACGTGGTGGAATGATGCTCAGGTATGGATATACCCCGTTGCCACCCAAAACCGGATCCGTGCTCATGCCTCCGTTGCTGCGCTGATGTGTCTGGTGCATGATGAGTGTGTCATGTTCGATGAACATGCTATGAAGGTCGTTTAACCCACCTGGCGACCAGTTACCTTGGTGGTGTTTGACCGTGTGTCCGTTGCTGCCTTGTCGTGCATTGCAGGAACACTTAGGATGGACCCATGTCGTGGGGGGAATCATCCTATATTCGGATGTGACGCACATGAGCAACAACGGCCGGAAGAAGGCGTGGCCGCTCATGATGACGCTTGCCAAAATCTCCCAGGCCAAACGATGGGGGAAAGCCGGCCACACGCTACTTGCCCTCCTTCCTATCCCCCCTTCTGCAATGTCTGCCGTGGAGAAGGTGATGCTCTTCCAGCGATGCGTCACCACTGTGCTGCAGCCGCTTCTCGATGGCATGGAAAGGTCCGTACCCGGTGTTGCATCTTGCTATGTCGTCACCCAATCACCTGCATAGTATGCAGGGCGTCACGATATGTAGCAGTCCCCTTTGCCCCTCTTCGTACATGCACAAATCATGTCCTCCCAATTCCTGATGCCACTCTACTTGTTCCTTGCAGTGGGTTCCGTCTTAGGGACCCTTTCGGTGATTGGCAAACCGTGCGGCCCCTGCTGTACGCCTGGGTGTGCGACTACCCCGAGAGCGGCAAGATCAGTTGCACACTCTCGCATGGATCACGGATGATGTGCAGCATCTGCTATGCTGCAAAGGCATTTTGTTTACGTTGGCTGCCCGGGTCTCACAAGTACAGATCTCCTCCATTCCCCACCACATCCCCGGTTTCCAGTGTGTGCTCTGGAAGTGGGATGTCCTAGGGACCGCGTGGGGAAATCCCTACCTCGTTGTCATGCCTGACATCATGCACCAGGCGGACCAGGGCATCATGAGCCACATTGTGGCTGCCGTGCGCAAGATGAAGAAGCGGCGCGTGAAGCAGATGGACAGGTCAGTGTTTTGGGGGATTGGATTCGTTGCTCTTGGTCACAAAAACTCAAAGCAAAACTACTGTGCTCTTACTGACATGTTTCTGGATTTGTGCCGCCGTTAAACTGATGTGTATGGACAGGCGCTTGTCACTCATTCGCGACCGCACGCGACTAAATCACATGCGCATGCCAGAGAGCACCTAATTCGAGACCGGAGCATGTGTCGCGGCCTATGAGCACAGGGCCGTCATGCAGGTATGAAAGCCTTGATTGTTATCATCGTGTGCGATAGGCTGCACCCTAACCACACAGCATGCTGCTGCCTGCCCCCTCCTCCATTCCCTGTTGCTTGTCCCCACCGCTCCTCAACTAGTCTGCTCATGCTGCCACTCCTTGTCCCTACTCCTCACACCATCTGTGCTAACCCTCCCCTTTGCTGCTATCCCCGAATTCTGCAGGTCATGGTGTTTGTTTTTGCCGGCCTGCTTCGCCAGCCCCAGATGGATGCAGTTCGTGCCTATCTTGGATGGTACCTCCTGTGCTCCCAGCCACAGGGGCACACTGAGCGGTCCCTTCGGGAGCTGAAGAAGATGACGTCTCGGTACTACTACCATGCATGTAAACCCCTGTGCATGGGATGAATGCTTGGCTACTGTAAATGTGCTCTTGTAGTAGGCAATTTGGTTAAGGATGTTGCTGCTAAACTTTTATAGGGAAGAATCTAGAATAGGAAAGCCATATGAATAAGTAGACTCTGATGTGTTTGCACGTGTTGTCATTCCCCACTCCCATCAGGCTAGTTGAGCAGTTGCAGGCTGCCTTTCCAAAGCAGCCATCCTCTTGGTGCCTTGTGAAAACCCATCTCATGTCGCATTACGTCAACTCCATTCGTCGAGTGGGTCATGTGACCGAATTCAGCACCAACATGTTTGAGCACTTGCACGGACCGTTGGTAAAGAGGATCTACCGTCGGTCCAACAAGCGCAATGTAGATGGGCAGATCATGAAGTTCCATGCTAGG